TACTACCTTTCTTTCGTCTAAAGAAGTCCGAAACCTAGAATCTTTGTTTGCAAATTAGGGTTTTCTATTAGATTCCCTTCCTTAGGATAAAAACTAGTAGTGGTGACTCTGATTTAAAAACCAGTCGCAACATATACCATTCTTATTTTTCTTTTTCACAAAAACTCATTTATATTCAATTGGTTTCACACCTTGAGGTGTTCGGAATACAGGTCCAAAAGCGAGTCGCTTATAAAGTGAGTTTAATTCTTCTTCAATTGGATATGTTTATTTTGGTCAATTCTCACTTTGTTTACAATCTTTGATAAAATTTGATGGATGATCCTCGTTATCATTTATCATCTTTAGCGCTATATTTTATTCAAACACATTTTTCAATATTGACTTTATTTTGGTTCCATCAATTTCCATTTATGACATGTTTTATCGATATCGTTTTATTTTCATATATTCCAAGTACCTGATAAGTTCTTCTGGAACTCAAAATAAATTATGTCAAAATACTCTTAGAATTTGCATATCTTCACTTAGGACATCTTTAATTTTAGCTTATTTGCTTGGTAGAGGATTAGTAATATTGGAACTGACTTTCCTACCATGCTTTATGCACGATTTCAATTCATTTGCAATATTAGATTATCCAATAGGAGAATGCACTTCAATTGTAGTATTAGCGGCTATAATTGGTTGTATAAAATTTGCAAATGAATGATATTTCAAATTTCTGGTTCATATTGGTTTGTACGAGGATCAAAATATAAATTTATTCATTGAACTTCTTGTTCATGATTTCAGCTGCTTATTTCCTCCCCCTAATATTGAAAAAATTAATTTATTATGATAATCCGCCTACTGGGCCATAATCAAGTATTTTATTATTTGCTCAAATTATATCCTCAAAATTGGGATTCATATCAATTATATTTTTTCAATATTCTTTCATGACTCATCTTAATATATTATATTGGAGCAATTGAAATATACACAACACATCCAAAGATTCACTTAGATGAGAAGTATTAGAATAAATTGTAAGTTAAGGGAGGATTAAGATATAGTATCTTGTTGGTTTGACGCGAATAAATATTTTAATGTACTTGATTGCATGTTCCCAAAGTATAATATAGAAGTTATAATCTCATAAGTATCAATCATACAATTAACTTTAGACGTCTAAAGAATGAGTCTTCAAGTCCATTTTTTATCATATGAATATATGCTACAAGATGTTCAATATTAATTTTTAATAATATATGTGATACTTATCAAGAAAGTTTTGGAAAGAAAAATATTCAAAAAAATGAGATCGAAAACAATTTTACAAATTTCTGGTTGTGAGTAGACAATAAATATTTTGTATAATATTTTAGTCGATGCAATAATTAATGTCATGAAAAACTTAATTTCTCTGATTTTTATTTTCCTTTAGAAACACACAAGAATTTACTAGATTGAAGAAACTTCTAGTTCTTCAATACTAAATATTTGCATCATATTATATCTGAGATGATCCAACTAATTTTACCAATGATACATTTAAGTGTAATTGATAATCTCCTAGTTTACAATGACATGTGCTTCAATTGTACTAATATAAGTGTAGTACAAGCCCAAAGAAAAAGCCGATAGCTTTTCTATTATATATTTTTTGTCCAAATTCTTTTGTGTAATGCAAAGATATTTGATACCTCCAATATACAATTCTAAACTAATATAATAGTATCTCATGATTAAACACTTTAATCATACACATGCATATGAACTTATTATCATATAATTATCAAATAATAATATTCATTGAGGACTCTTTCAAAAACTAGTGTATGCCGCTAATTATGACGTTGACATGATATTCTTTATAAAATTAAACATATTTAATCATACAAAATCATATCACTAAAATTATATCGTCATACAATTAATTTGTTTTACTATACTCCTGGGATGGATAAGTTCTTCAAGAACTATATAAATAATTTGTTTTGCTATCCTTCAGGAATACTTAATAAGTTCTTTAAAAATTATATAAATCATTTGTTATAAATAATGATCTAAAAAAATATAACCATCCTTTTGGGATGCGCTAAAATTATTTGTGTCATTCTTTTGGAATGACAATATTTTAATGAGCATATTATTAATTATAAATTTTTAGATCAAAATAATAATTTAAGATGAATTACATTGGTGATTCGAAAGTAAAATAATTTATCTTAGTCAGTGACATCTAAAATTTTAACTATAACAATTAGAGGAGCCAAAAATTTCATGTAATATTTATGGGAAGAAAAAGAAGCTCTAAATAACATAGTGGACGTGGCATTTGTGGTTTCACAATATAACACAAGTTTTCTTATAATCATTGGCATGAAAAAATATTAAACCATGACACATAAAAATTCAAACAATAGTAAAGGAAGAAATGTTAAACATTATCAGTAAGATAAAATATATAGATTTATAATTTAAATTATGCAACAAATGATACTCAAACAAATTTTAGAAGTTTATAACATAGTCAAATGCTATAAAAAATTACAATAACATAAAAATATAGCTATCTTTATGTGATGTGTTAGAGTCACTCATGTCATTATTCTAGAATGACAATCATTTTATGAGTATATTGCAAATTTTACATTGAAACACAAATTCTTTGTAAAATCCTTCTGAGATACTTCACTATTGATCCAATCGATCTAGAATTCGATATAATATTGATGCAATAATTTTTCTAAATTTTTAATATAACAGATGCAATTCTTCCGGATTCATTAATATTTATAGATGAAATTCTTCTAAGATTCAATAATATTATAGATCTAACCTTTTAAGGTGTGAGAATTCCTTATTTTAAAACTTTAATTCTTCAAGAATTATATATCACAAATGATATTCGTAGTGATCAAAAAGAGACAATTCTTTGCACAATCCTTCTAGGAAGCTCGATAAAAAAATCTTTCAAAGTCATGTCACAAATCTTTACATCAATAAAGAAAAATAATTCTTTAAGTAATCCTCCTGGGATATCTTAATATTATTCATGTAATTCTTCTGAGATGCACGCTATTCATGCAATTCTTCAAGGATGCATGAAAATTACAATTGATATTTTCATAAAAATTGATCAATCATTCTTTGAGCAACCATTCAAGAATGCTTCAAGAATTCATCAATAATAAAAAATTTAATTTAACTAAACAAAATTTTCAATAGAATTTTATACAAAATATAATTGAATGACACACTAAAATTTAATCTACAAGATAAAAAAAGTATTAAAAACTTACTCGAAAATGAAGAAATAAAATTATGCAATTTGATCATAAAATCGCTCACATGATAGAGTTTCGTGTTGATAACGTATTATGAAATTCTTCAAAATAATATAGAAATGAATGGGAGATGAAGAACAATATAAAGATGAAGGCAAGAAAAAAAAGAAAAAGAAAAATATTATATTATATTTTTCAAATTTACTTTACATTATAATGTGGATCTTATTTATAAAATATTAGAAATACATAAAATTTAAGAGATAAAAAATATAAAAGGTGAAGTAATGAACACCCATATCTATTTACTATTATTCATAATATTTCATAATTTTTAACGGTAAAAGTTTTTTGTTTAACAAAACAATTCTTAAGAGATTATATATAATTTTTTTTTTAATTAAGGGAATAAAGGGAAATATCAAATTAAATTAAAAGACAACTAATTATATAAAAACAAAAAATAATTTCATACTCAAACTTCAAATTATGTCCAAAAAAAATCACCTCTCACTTTTGACACATGGCACTTTCTAAAGTATAAAACTTTGATTGCTATGAATAATAAATGCATTGCAAATTGCTGACATTATCAGTGGTGTCACTATACGTCACCACCAGCATATATTTATGAACACGGCAAGATCATTTTTTAATTAGATCTCATGTTCTCATCGACACACATGTTATCTATTTACGTCTTTAGGATTTGCATCTTAAATAAATAAACATTAAAATCCCATAAGTTAGTTATTCATTTCATTTTATATGTTTAATCTACGGCTAAAAGAAAAAAATTGGATGGACTCAAAATGATGCTATAAGGTCGGTGTAGAGGGAAAGGAAGGCATGTGTATCTAGAAAATGAATGATGACAATAAGCTAAGGACAAATTAATTTCAACACTTAACGTGTGCATCACGTTTCATTCCCACTTGTAGTAATAATAGTACACATTACACAACCTACAATAATACACATTACACAACTCTCATAAAACAAAAAGTTTCAAAACTTTCTAATAAGAATCCTCTCCATTATATAATCAATGCATACATTTTTAAAAATGATAATATTAATTACATATTTATACACAAAAACTATAATAATAGATACTTTCATTTTTTTTAGAAATGGAAAAGATCTTTACTGAAAACTTTCTTCTTTTAAAATTGTCCTTTTCATCTTGCCATTTAGATTCTATATTAAGATACTGCAAAAGGGTAATTCTGTATTTTCAGTTCTATAGAAAACAACTGGCTGACTACCCCACTTTGGTTGTAACCTGGAAACATCCAGATATGTATAGAGACACTAAAAAAGTACTTGTAGAAAACTACCAAAGTTGACCTTAACCAGTTTACCAATAAAAAACAAAAATAATCTAGCAACCATATTTGACCAAGTATATGGTATCAAATTCAATTCACATATAATAAATGAAAATTGTTCTAGTATTTATTTTGTTTGTAATACATGAAACAAGGGTAATGAAAAAGTAATGAAACAATTTGCAAGAGTAAAGGAAAATAAAAGCTGTGAAATGTATACTATACCAAACCTATGGTCGTATAAATTTACAACTAAAAAACCAAGCTTCCAAGAAAACAAATCCAACAAATCAATGGAATGAAGTTTTTTTTTTCTTATTTGTAAAAATAAATAAAATTCTAAAATCCTTTTTTTGGTGCTATACCTGCTAAAAATGAAAGAATAAGAATCCATTCAGCATAGCAGTGACTCAAGAAACGTGTCGTCTTTAGGTTCCTCCTTAGCTCTGGAGGAGAAACCGTTGTCAGACATTTGCTGCTGCTGTTGCTGTTGCTGATGCTGATGCTGTTGATGTAGCTGCTGTTGTGGCGGATTCATGTACGACTCCATTGGATTCAAAAACCTTGAAAATCCGTGGTTTCCTTGATTCTGCAGCATGTCTAAGTTGAAAGGATTGGATTGAACCTGTTGTGCTGGTTGTTGTGGCCTTAGAGTCTGTAGTGGCAAAATGGCAGTGGCTGCATTATTTGGATTTGAAGGGTTGTTTGGCGTTGGCCGGTTTATGGAATTGTTTCCGCTTCCACGAGCAGCAGGGACATCATGGTTGTGCTTCCCTTCATAGGTTGTGATCACAGCGCGTAAATCATGTGAGGCGCGCTCAACGTGTTTCCTCACTGGACAACCTGGGTGTGTACATTTGTAGTAGCTCCTACAACACAGTTGAAACACAATTAGAAATAACTATATAGCACAGACATAAACACAACAACATTGACATTGACGGAGACATGTTAATACCGATAATAACTATAAAAAATTGAAATAATTGAACGTAACAACAAGTGTCGATATCATGTTGTGTTGTGTTAGCATCAGACACTAAAATGTGGCTCAGGCAAACACGTCTACAATATGAAGTGTTAGTGTTATGTTGATATGAATACAAAAGTTGCTGAATTTGACTAAGTAGCCAAATTAGATAAACATGGAAAGTTGGTACTGCAATTTATAGGCTATTGTGAAATTTCCCAAAAAGCAAGACATTATTATGGTAATGTACCTAAAAAAAAGATAGAGAAGTAAATACAATTCATTATGTAGTTGTAATGTTTTTACTACATTTGACTAGGTAACAATTGTACACCATATACTATCATGGGAGTGAGGAAATCCATCATTGGATACTCAAATTAATACTTATAATCAATAGAACTTCTAAAGTAAAACAAATTTGAAGAAATAGGACTAAAGTAGAATCTAAAGTGAAAGTTATTTATTTTTTTACCTTGGATTTGGATTTCCCTTGACAACTTTCTGTCCATATTTCCTCCATCTGTAACCATCATCAAGGATATCAATGTCACTTGTTGTCTGAACAACAACTCTAGGTTCCCTCACTGTTCTGCTTCCAGGTCCTGATATTCCCTCATTTTCAACATCATTTTTCCTGAAAAAAAATAATTATGCAAAATAATATCAGCCCCTAAATTGCAGTCCGTAACCGCAATTTTAAGAGTCTCTGCAATGACACTTTGTCACTGCAACTGCAATTTAAAATCATAAACGGAATAAGGAATCATAATTTCGAAGAAAAAAAACTTACCATCTTTTAGTATCAGGCTCATCATCATCATACTCATCACCGCCGCCAGATCTACTCTTTTGAAGAGAACTCTGCTCAAAATCATCATCTCCGCCAATTGAAATTGAAGAATTCTCAGGCGTAGCACCAGAATCCATTTGTCCATTACCAAGTGACGCATAGGATTGATCAATCATTTCGTTACCATTTGGATTAGCAGGAACAATCACCAGAGCATTCGACGAGTTCTTCCTAGTAGATTGAGGCTTAGGATGATTATGAGTACCCTTATAAACTATCTCAGTAATCTGTCCCTCAAAAGATCTCTCAACTTTCTTCTTGGTAGGACAATTCGGGTACGTGCATTTGTAATAGCTTCTCGGATTCTCACTTCCTTTCACTTGTTTTTGTCCGTATTTTCTCCAATTGTAACCGTCGTCTGATTTCTTACTCAAGGTTTGAACTTGTTGAAGTGGTACTGGTTGGTAATTGTTGTAATCAGATTGAATTCCGTTCTTGTTCATCATCGCGTTGCTCATTTGAACATTAGCAAACTCCGCAGAATAAATCTGCATAGCATTCTTGTTGTTTTCCCGTTGCATCGTATTGTTCCCAGATGAATAACCTTCTTGCTTTGTGCTTTGTTGATAACCCCATGGCTGTTGCTGTTACATAAAACAAAATGAAAATGTTTTGACAAATAAGTACATGTAATTTTGCATAAGTCAGAATTTCTAGGAATCACAATGATTTGGTTGGATTTTGAACATTCAAACATTCAACCTATTGTTGATAACCATTGGACGGTGAAAAAAAACAAATAAATTTATTTTATTTTATTTAAATATAAAATCCGCAAAATTTGATCCAACAATCCTCTATATTCTATACATTAAAATTGTATATTCAATATTTTTAACCGACTAGTAGTCTAAATGTGCAATAAATGCTTATAAAATCGGTTGCAACAAACATACTTGTTGTTGAATTCCAACGTTTGATGATTGAAAAGATGTGTTGGGTGCAGAAACAGCAGGATTTTGTTGGGTTTGGAAAGAGAAATTTGCAAGTTGTTGATTCCCCACAGAATTGTTCTTCCAATTGTAGCTATGAGCAGCATAAGCACCAGTTGTTGGAGATGGCAAAACCTGTATACAAAAAAAAAAATCCTGTCCATAAATTCACCAACACAAAAAAAATAAAATTAACTAATCAACTAAAAAGAATCATAGTCAAAATCTTTTCTATATAGAATTAAAATCATTCAACATATCTTTACAAAATAAAATCTATTACAATCAACATAAAGAAAAAGTAAATAACTTTCCTTTGTCAAATTTTTCTAAGAAAAAAAAACATGTGATAAACATAAGAACATGATGATGATGATGAAGAATATATAAAGTTCAAAACTTTCATTTCTCAAGTAACAAAAAAAAAACACATCAAAAGCAAACATAAAATATATTATTTTAAAATTTGAAAATGAAAATTGATATTAATATAATCAAAATTATAAAGTAGAGAGAAACAAACAGTGGCGCTTAAAATAATGAAGAGTGAAGAAAATATATGAAACTGACATTGTTAGAGTTCAACAAAACAGGCGAATCAAGTAAGTCAGCTGGACTCAAACCAGGAGGAATAGAAAAATAAGAAGGAAGAGGAGGTGACAAAGGCAAAGAAGGAGGTGGTGTAGACTTGAACTTAGGAACACCATAATCATCATTTCTTGAGTTGTTGTTATTGTTGTTAATGTTTTCATTCTCATCAATAGGAGAAGCTAAAAGATCAGAGAAAGAACTGGTCATCATGAAAGGGTGATGAGTTGTTGAAGAGAATGAAAAATGGTTGAACGAGTTCAAACCATTGATATTATTAATATTAATATTAATATTATTATTGGTATCTAAATTACTAGATGAAGATGCCATAAGATAGATAAGTTTTTTGATTTGGAAAAAGTTTTGAAAATGAGAAATGGAAGAGACTAATATAAGGAGAGAAAACAAAATGGGCAAGGTTCATGTACGTAATGTACAAGGCTTAATGTGGTTTGTGTTTTTGATTGGGTGGCGTAATTTCTTAGAAGGTTGTGTGAAATGAATGGTTTTCTTTGACCATGGAAAATTTGCCATTTTGCCACTAACTATATAAATTTTTTGGGATTGTTTTTTTATTTTTTATTTTTAATTTAATATTTTAATGTTTTTTGTTTTTGGGTTTTTTGGTCAAAGATTGTGGGTTTGACTGGATTGGGTGGCAGCTAGGACTAAGATACTTCTTTTTGTGTGAAAAATTTAAGTTACTCTTTTTGTCCTAAACCAAACCATTTTAGTGAAAAATACTACTAGTAGTTTTTTGGATAATCCATAGGAAATCTATTTTAATACTACTTTTGTTCAAATTTTTGATTAAAAAATCTATTTATGTTTACAAGAATATCAAAAAATGATAAATTGAAATATTGTTTTTTTTTTCTTAGAATAAATTTTATTATAAATTTTAAATATATTTTTTAATTATGGAAAAAATTAGAGAGAATAAATTAAATACTATTTATATTAGATTTATCATGATAAAGGAAAAAATTATTTTTTTAAATGTTTTAAAATAATATAATTAAATAGGATAATAGTTGTTTTTATCTAGTAAATTAATTATTAAAATTTTATATTTAAAAATAAATACGTAAATATTGATTTAACGTGTCAAGTGTATCAACTAAGTTGATTTTATAAGATGGGATGATTATTGCTTATGTGATTTAGACAAAAAAAATGAAGAAAAAAAATCATATAAATTAGATGTTTAAATTATTTTATTTTGGTAATATGATTAATTATTATTTTAAATGAATATAAAAATTTAAAAGATAACCTAATTTGAGACAAAGAAATTAATTATTTATTATTTATTGATAATCTAAAATATTTAACATCTAGAAATAAATATGAGACACGTGACTGTGACGGTGGACATGAGAATCATTCATTCAATATTTCATATTATGTGATGAGTAAAGATTCTCTCGATTTCTTTTGATAAATATAGGTGTTTATTATTATAGTTTTAATATAAATAAAAGATATATTTATACACATTTTAAAAAATAGTGATTATAATTATATATTTATACATCAAAATTATAATAATATATATTTCTATTTCTTTGAGAAATGAAAATGATGCTTACTCTAATGTGACATCCATATAGGTTAAAAAGGAACAAAAAAATTAAAAAAGTTATTGAATTCATTTTAATATCTTAAATGTAAGACTTTTTTTAAGGTCATCATATTTTATTTTCACTTTATCGTTTACTTATACTAGAAGTTGAAAGTGTTCTTAAGAAAATATATATACTATTGCTTATTTTATTGTAAATTATTGAAACCTTGTTTTTATTAATAATCTTTAAAAATAGATACTTGTTTTTACAACCTTATTGTTTATTTAAAGTATTCATTAGTTAAAAGGGAGAAAAAAGGACCCCAAAAAAAGTGAAAAGGAGAAAAAATTTAATGTATTGCCTAATGGTAATCTAGAATCTGTAGTGAAACCGTGGGTAGGAGATTCATGCACCCATGTCAAGTGTCTTGCATTTAAAAATAATTACCATTATAGATTTTGTTTTTACTATTGAATTACCTAATTATGCTAGAAGGTGTAACTATTATTAAGAAAATATATAGCATTGTTTATTTATGAGTTAATAATGTTAATCTTTATCTTTCTTATAAAAATATTTATTGTTTTTTTACTGGTTATTTTTATTGTATTTCAACAGTTTATAAAAATGATTAGATAATGTTTAGGATTTGAACAGTCAATATATTTTAAAGATATGATTGACTGTGGAAACAAAAATAAAGATCGGTGAAGTGAGGTGAAAAAATAATAAAAACATTGTTTGTATAAAATAAATGAGAAGAAATACAAACAAATTAAAAATAAATAAATAAAAGATTGTTATCATTCTCTTTATTTATTTGGTTGGACAAAATAGGAGTATGAAGAAAAAAACACACTAATTAGTTTTTGTTTTGAAAACAAGATAGATATGTTTTTTTAATAAAAGCATTGAAAAACAAAAAGAAAAACAAAAAAGATGAGATGACATAAAATCTAATTTATTAAAAAATTAGTAAAAATAATAGTTGAATTAATAGGAATTAAATTTCATCAAGTGTTAAAATTAACAATTTTTTTATTTAAATTAACTGATTTATCTGCACATACATTTCACTCTTTAAAAATATGAAATATTTTTAATCTAAAGTAGTGTATAGTGTGTAAAGTATTTTTTAATTTAATTAAAAGACATCAAGGGACAATATTCAAATTAAAAATGCACAATGTTCAACATCGAATTAGTTTCAAGTCAAAGATTTTTTCATTTCTTTCTGTTACCATATTCGATATCAAACATGATATCATACAATTCAACTTGAAAGGAGGTGCAAACTCTAATCTTATTTGAGAGATCTCCCAAGAATATTCTTAAATTATTCCGAAATATGTCACCGCAAATTGATATTCTAGGATTTTATTTTAATGTTCCATTGAGTTGCACTTAATCCAATTATGACTAGGAAAACACCAATAACTAGTATGATTTTAGGTATGGGAGGAGGTCGACATTTGATGTCAAATCATTTACTAATTGTAAACTCGTGAATTGAAGCGTACATGTATCCCCTTGAAAAAAGTAGATATCATAGACCAATTGTTTAACATGAAGAATGTCTCTATAAATTTAATATTACTATTTTGAAACTTGATATCGTTTCTTGTAAGTATCATAGACCAATTGTTTAACATGAAAAATTACGAGATACATGCAATTTGGAAAACATTGAATGATCTAAGTTGCATTTCAAATATAACTTAATTTTTTTAAATCATTTTAAATGAATGCATGTTCAATAAAGGATTAGTGAAACAAACAATCTACACACATTATAATAATTCAACAACAACAACATACATCAACAACAATAACATTTATGAACAACAACAACAACATCAACAACATACTCTTATCAACAATAACAACACAAACCATTTATAAACAACAACATACATACATACATACATACATACATACATACATACATACATACACAGCAACAAAAAGATAGCTTTCATTGAAAAAATTCGTTGAATAATCTAAAATAAATCTGTGTAAATCATTTGTGTTGCTATGAAGAAAAATATGAGTCAGATGAATTTGCAAAAATGGCTTCATACTTCTTATATAGCTTCTCCATAGAAACATAAATATTAACAACTTTCAAAATAGAAACAACTTTCAGAATGTTAATCTGTTTCGAAAATATTAACTAGCATTAACACCATCTTAACATAAAAGGAAACATAATCCAAAAAGACATCTTCAGATAACTTATAGAAAAATGTAAGAAAGCTAATGGAGAAGATTACCTTTTAATTTGAAGAAAGTATTTAGGACTAGTTCACTGCATCGGAAGAGAGATATGTTAGGTTTTGTTTTGAGAAAAAAATAAAGAAAACGTATTAACAACATAGAAGAAAGTTTATGAATATAAACTTGATAACCTTTAAATTTGAAGATGGTAATGAGGATGAGTTCGTTGGATGTGGAAGAGATAGTTGTTAGAGTTTTGTTAAGAGAGTGACGACTATTCTGATGGAAAGATTGATAACTTCGTGTGTGCATGTATATATATATATATATATATATATATATATATATATATATATATATATATATATATATATATATATATATATATATATATATATATATATATATATATATATATATATATATATATATATATATATATATATATATATATATATATATATATATATATATATATATATATATATATATATATATATATATATATATATATATATATATATATATATATATATATATATATATATAATGTTAAACATATCACCATGACTGTTAGAATAAAGCGTGATAATATGTAAGTATTATTCACGACGGCTTCCGGTATTAACCATGATGATAAGTATTTTTTTAAATATATTTATAGGAGTATAATGACAATCTCTTTCTGTGACGAAAAGAAGTAAAAATTGTTGGTGCTGGAAATCGAAGCAAGTAACTTTTATTATAACACAACAATTATTTTACTGGACCATGATAAAATGTATTGTAATAAAATATTAGAAATTAAGGTGAACAAATATCAGTTATTACTATGGTTAACTAGGCGGCCGAAGTAATATGGTTTCACCAAAGATATATTTTGTAGTAGTGTAATTTTATTGTAAATAAGTTGATGTTGGGTTTTGAACTCAATATATATATATATATATATATATATATATATATATATATATATATAAAATGTTAAACATATCACCATGACTGTTAGAATAAAGCGTGATAATGTGTAAGTATTATTTACGACAGCATCTGGTATTAACCATGATGATAAGTATTTTTTTAAATATATTTATAAGAGTATAATGACAATCTCTTTCTGTGATGAAAAGAAGTAAAAGTTGTTGGTGTTGGGAATCGAAGCAAGTAACCTTTATTATAACACAACAATTGTTTTACTGGACCATGATAAAATGTATTGTAATAAAATATTAGAAAATTAAGGCGAGCAAATATCAGTTATTACTATGGTTAACTAGGCGGCCGACGTAATATGGTTTCACCAAAGATATATTTTGTAGTAGTGTAATTTTATAGTTGATGTTGGGTTTTGAACTCAAGATATATATATATATATATATATATATATATATATATATATATATATATATATATATATATATATATATATATATATATATATATATATATATATATATATATATATATATATATATATATATATATATATATATATATATATATATATCACAACGACTGTCTAAGATAACAAACATGATAAGTAGC